CCCCTCAGCCAGCGGTGCAGCTCACTGCCCACACCCAGTGGATCTGCTTCCCTGGGCTGCCTGGAGGAGGCGTCCCCGTCCCAGGAAGGCAGCGTCTTCACGAACGGGGCCGTCTCAGCAATGCACTGGCTCACAGAGCACCGCCCTGGGGCGAACGGCGGGGGAGACGCGCGCTCACGGTCAGAGATGGAAGCTGAGGACCCGGCACCAGAGCCAGGTGCCAGACAAAGAGGAGTGCAGGGTCGGGAGCAGGCCGGGCCGAGCCTGATGTTCACACCGACCCCTCCCTGCTCAGGCGGGAGGGACCTCCCCCCCCAGCCCAGACACCCTAAGGAGCCCGCGTGGGCGGCGGTCGGTCCAGCAGAGCTGACCCAGCTGGCATCTCATTCCCACTGCGGAGCCGGCAAGCAGCTAAGGCTGCCAGCGCCTCATCCGAGTCAACAGCAGCCCAGCGTTTCCAGGCAGGGCCACCGGCACCGGCACCGCGGCTGTGGAAGCTTCCAGGTGATTCTGACGCACGCCGTAGCTGACGGCCGCCCGCCTGGCCCTGCTGCTGACCTTGGCTTTGGTCCCAGCGGCCTGACGGGCGGCATCCAGCTGAGCGATCGCTGCTGCTGTGTGTGACGCACCTGCTCTGGACGCGGCCCTGGCGTCCACGCCCACACGTGGACCCTGCGCCACTGGGGAAGGCTGCTCGGTGGGGACGGCGACAGCACTGGGGTACAATTCTTTGATGCAGAGGACAGCCTGGCACCTTGAAAAATCATCCACTTCCCAGGGGCCTGCGTGGTGGCGCAGTGGGTAAAGCCACGGCCTGCGCGGCCAGCATCCCTCCCATGCGGGCACCAGTCCCAGTCCTGGCTGCTCCTTTTCTGACCCAGCTCCCTGCTGTGGCCTGGGAAAGCAGGGGAAGATGGCTCAAGTGCCTGGGCCCCTGCACCCACGTGGGAGACCTGGAGGAAGCTCCTGGCTCCAGCCCAGTCCAGCACTGGCCATTATGGACATTGGGGGAGTGAACTAGCAGATGGAAGATCTGGCACTCACTCTCTCTCTGACTTCCAAAATAAATAAATTCTCCAAAAAAAATTAACTGTGCCCTGCAGCTTCTCCCTCCCCCACCTCACACCTCCACACCTCAATGAACGCCAGCAGCAGCTTCCTAATTAGGGCAGCTCACAAAGCCCTCAGCTTTGCAAAGAGGGCGAAGTGCAGCAGTCACACACGTGTGTACATACACACATGTGCACACACACACGTGCACACACATACACACATGCACACGTGCATGTACACATGTACACACACGTACACACACGTGCGCACACACACAGCCCAGGTCGGAGTGGCACAGTCACCACTGTCTTTGGAAAGCCCTCTTGTGGTCCCCCAACCTCTAGGGCTGCAGGCCGGACTCTGAGGCCAACGGTCACCTCCTTCTTGCTCTCTGCTTCAACGCACAGCCTGCCTGACTCCCAGGCACTGAACACTTGGACTTGAAGAGCTGCGTGTGGCTGTGCACACACAGGAATGGGTGCTTGTGTGTTTGCACGTGTGTTTGCACGTGCATGCATGCATACAGACTGTGCGGGTGTTTGTGTCCATGCGCACCTGTGGGTGCGCGAGTGTGTGCACAGTCATGTCTGAGTGAGTGTTTTAGGGTGGAGAGGGCAGTCCAAGAAGAAGACAGAGAAAAGAAAACTCACTCCCTGTTCTTTTAGTGCAATTAGCGCAGAACTAAATTCCGGCTCAAGCTACAAGTGACAAAGCCGGGTCCCTCTGCTGCCCACGCCTTTAGCTACTGGCTGATTTTTTTAGTCCACCAGCAAGAAATGCATTTTAGCAAATGGCATTTTCATCTGCATCCACGGGCCGTGTGGCTCAGAAGGCCGCTTCCTTGCACGGCGATGTGTTTATCCAGGCCTCACGGCGCTGGTCGTCTGAATCAGTTCTAATGAAACACACGCTTGCCTGCCTCCCAAATCAGATCCATCCCCAACCCTTTGCCCGAGTTATTCTGGAGTTTGCAGAAGGAACAGGACACCAACATTGCAGCCGTCGGAACTGCTCACGGCCGGCTTCCTCGGCAGCAGCGGAGGTCTGAACGCAAGCCGTCCACGGGTGCAGTGAAGGCAGGCTGGCAATCGCCCGTCTCAGGAAAATCGGGCAGAGAGCAGAGACGGCTCAGGTGCGCGCGGCGCCGGGACAGGGGTCCACGGTGTCTGTTCACAGAGGAGCTGTGGCCAGGACTCCAGGGCAGAGCCTTCCCACGTCACCTGCAGGGCACAGGGACGGCAGGGGCGGGACACAGGCTGTGCCAGGACGGGGCCACGGCAGGGCGAGCGCCAGGTGGAGAGATGACCCCGGCCCCCACCCCCACCGCCACGTGCACATCTGTCTCCCAGGGCCCGGGGTTATAGAGAATGCAGAGGACAGAGCGGAGTCTCACACACACTTCCATCTTGGGCCCCCACAGCCCCTCACAGCGCCCAGCCTCCTGCCACAGACCTGGCAGCCAGAGCAGCAGCCCCTGGAGCCTGCAGGCATGGCCAGCCACAGAACAGCCAGCCACGGGGCAGCCAGCCACAGGACGACCAGCCACGGGACGACCAGCCACAGGACAGCCGGCCACGGAACGGCCAGCCACAGAACGGCTAGCCAGGGAAGAGAAATGACGCCCTTGGGGCCCAAGAGAGCCTGAAACTTGGTCCCTTCGACCCCAGAGGAAAAACCGCTCGGTGGGTTTTAGCTCTGAGATGCGCCGAAGTTACCAAGACATCAGCAGGAATGAGAAAAGCGTGCGGGCGATGCTATGCCCCACTGCGGGCGCCAGGCATGGGACTGTGGATTACCTCGAGGATGGCGGCCGACATGCCTTCCGACACGGAGCTGTTCACCACGGCACAGCAGTTCCTCGCCGCGGCGTGCAGCTCGTCCTGCGGCAGCTCCCGGGTCAGCCGCACGCCCGGAGCCCTGCAATGACACGGGGCAAGGAGGCGCGCTGGTGACAACTGTGGAGCCACAGCCGGGTCCCAGGGGACGCGTGACTGACAAGGGCTCCAGGGGATCCCACACAGCCCTCCCTGCAGGGACATGCACACGGCTCCAGAGCCAGGAGAGACCCAGAGATCCGGCCCTGGCCTCTCCCCGTGCGGGGTTTCTCGGAAGCCAGCCTGGTTTCAGAACTGATGGAGACGGGGCCGTGTGGAGAGCAACAGAAACCCCGCGGCGGAGACGCCCGCAGGGTGAGCGCCAGGTCCCCAGCACGCGGGGCGGACACGTGGCGGGGGTCCTGCCGCCTGCCACGGTGTCTCAGTGCCTCTCTTTGGTGTTGTTCCCCAGCCCCACCCGTCCAGGCTACCACACTCGTGGCTTTGAGAGTCACCCTTTAGGGAACGAGCTACACTGGTTCAGGCACGCAGTGGCCAGGGCCCTGAGTGTGGCCAGGGATCAGGGCAGTGCTGTCTGACCCCTCTGCTGTGTGCTGGCCCTCACGGGCCTGACCTGAACTGGAGACCGATCCTCATGGCCCACTTAAAACACAGAACTTGATGGATGGAGTCCCAGGCCACCTCATCTCGGGCGGGGGGGCACAGACCAGGAACAGAGGGCAGAGACAGGAGCCCAAGGCCCTCAGACGATGTCCCAGACGGCTTCAGGTGGCAGGGAAACCTCGGTGTCAGCCTGCCTGAGGGGACCCACAGCCAATGCCCCGAGGCTCTGCCGTGCATCCCCCAAGCCCTCGCAATGCCAAGCAGTGGGCGCAGTGAAAGTGACCTCAACTGGCGTCCAGGGCCGTTCCCGGCCCACGAGGAAGGCCAGCGTCTCCCAGTGTGTGCGGCGTGTCCGTTTCCTGGAGGTGGGGGAGTGACGGAGCCCAGCTGGCGTGGGGCCTGGGGGACGGGAGTCGGAGCCGGAGCGGCACCGGGGACTGCACAGGCAGGGACGGGCATTGCCTACCAGGTGCCCAGTGCCCTCTTCTGCGTAACCCCGGTGGGCTTCCCGCCCTTACCTCTGCACGGCGGCCTTCACTTCCTGGGTGAACACGGGGTCAACCTGGGAAGAGATGAAGACGAACCTGAGCAAAGGCGTGGGATGAGTCTCAGTCCGAGCGCACGGCAGGCACGGGCCACAGAGCCGGCTCCGGGGCGCACGAGGCCCCGCAGCCAGCCCAGACGGTGACCGCCAGAAAGAGCAGGAACCGAGTGGCAGCCACCTGTCACTTCC